ATTGTTGCAACTTCAGTCTCTGAAAATGTGCTACCTTTCGCTTAAATCTGCTCTCAACATTCTAATCATCATTCTGCTATTTTATCCATATGGGAGGCCAAAAGACAGCAACCAAAACCGACGTTTGAAAGTGCACGGTTAATGGTTGTAAAAACTAAACTGAACTGAAACTTGAATCACTTGATCACCGTCGCTCTTACAAATAAGTGGGAACCATCAGCCGAAATGTACCAGTCTTGTTGATGAGTATATATTAGAAAAACTACGAGCAGCATGGAACAATTTGAACACACAGGCATGTAAGGGCACGTTTTCAACACGAGATGAAAGGTAAAAGTCACTAACCTCGCGTGATTTGTCATTCGAACGCGACTCGGACAGGCTGTCCAACAATTTGTTCGAACTGTCCATATTTTCTTCCATCGGAACCAGATCCAACGTGTCACGTTTCGATCCACCGCCCCTGGTAGAACGTGCAGTGTCCGGTGAAGGTGAATGCTCGTGCGTTGTCATAAGCGGACTGAGAACTGGCGGAGAGGAAAAACTGGCAGATTCTACAATCGGTTCGATGCTTGCAACCTTTGGCGGTGAACACTCTTTACTATTTGGTGTAGACGGTGTCGGTGCGGTAATCGTGCCGGTCGTACTGGGGACTTTATCAGTGCTTCTTGATTGGGATGAAACAGTTTTACTGCCACTCGGAGTGGATGATGAACCCGCACCACTCTGCTGGCGGGATCCAGTCCCACTGGAATGCGTGGTTCCAGTGCCTGATTTGGTTAACTGAGATGCATTTTGATTGGCCAGTGTTTGATGCCTAGGTCTGGCCAGAGGCAATTCATCTAATTCCGTGCCCAGTTTTCGACTTATGTCATCCAGGGGGTATAGGTACCTGAACGAGAAGAAACAATTGACGATTTTACACAACCAGAGGAGAGAGAGAGAGAGAGAGAGAGTGGGAAAATGATTGAAATAGGCTATAAAGCATAAAATCACAGGACCCTAATCACTGCTCTGAAGTACTGATCTAACAAAAAAACCGGCCTTCCAACCTCTGGAAATCAGTTTGACTTTAACTTCAACGGTGATTAGAAGAATATAATAGGGTAGTATGAAATGCTCGCAAACGGAGAATTAAAAAGATATCTCGTTCGCTTTCAGATTCTCAACTTTGTTGAATGTTACACTTAGAATACACGGTAAATGCAATACATACTTATGGTGACAAACGAGTATGCGGAGTGTGTGGGAGATGCATGCAGTTAGCTCTTACGGAACACAAAAATGTCGAATCCTGTAGCATGTTGTTAGGTTTATTTGAGCAGCGCATGAAAACATAGCTGTTCATAGTATATATAGGACACATGTTGATGCGGTATTCTAAAGGGTCACCTATCCATGGGGACATAGCTGCATAGGGTTTAAATCTCGTCGGTGTGTTTTTATTAGTTACCCGAACAGCATCCTAAATTTTGGGCGTCTAAACGGGATCCAAAGCAGCAAATGCAAGTCTTAATTAGCAATGCAAACATACACAGTCGTACTCCAGGGTGATAATTTGGTGACGTTATCACCAGGTCACCACAATGCTATTTGTCAGTCATCACAAATATTTCCATTCCTTAAAAGCGCATTCAACTAGTGGGGAATTAACAATTACTCAAGGAGGGGAAACCTACACCCAAGACCGTCAGCAGTGCCTGATGCCTTTGAACAATTGAACGGATTAATCCAAATTTGAAATTCTAAAACCTTCTGTAATACCTTCCGGTGACAGTTAAACGCTGATTAATTCAGTAAACACTGCTACATCGAATTAATATTTGTCTACCAAATGGATGAGAAACGTAGTCAATAGACATGAAAAGCTCGTCTTTATTCCCAGTTCACTTCAGTTCTTACAACCATTAACCGTGCACTTTCAAACGTCGGTTTTGGTTGCTGTCTTTTGGCCTCCCATATGGATAAAATAGCAGAATGATGATTAGAATGTTGAGAGCAGATTTAAGCGAAAGGTAGCACATTTTCAGAGACTGAAGTTGCAACAATAATGAGTAAATGCTTGAGAGCCACTGTTTGCGACACCTAGCCATATCACTCGGTGTCTCTAACCATCGGTGACCATGATCTTGGGGTCCCATCCAAGGAGCCTAACGGGACCTATGTGATCCAGTTTCCTAGTTAGGGTTATGATATCCTCATGCCAGGTCTTCGTTTGACCGCCCTTGACCCGTTTCAAACCTCTACCTGCCTCGTCAAGCATTGCTCGCCGTGGAAACCTATTTGGTGACATGCGTGGCACATGCCCCAACCAGCGTAATCTATGGAAGTTTCAGTAGACGACCGCGATTATTTGAAGCTCTACGCCTAACCTCAACATCGGCTTCCTCACGAGACTCGTGCAATACGACGTAGACAGCGGTGTTCGAACACCGACAATCTGTTTTTATCCTGTTCCCGTAAAGCGCGCCGTAAAGCAGAACTGACCGAACTGCTGCAGCATATACTCGACCCTTCACAGATAACTGGATGTCGCGACGGCGCCACAGATGTCTCAAGTTGGCAAATGCCAACCGAGCTTTCTGTATGCGCGCCCATACTTCATTCCGAGAGAAGAGGTAGATTGATAGTATCTGTTAAACAAGTCCGCTCTGCTATGATACACATAAATTTGATGTGGGAAAAGTGTAGACAATTTACACGGATAGATTCACACCGGCAGTCTTCATCAATCTTCAAATAAATGAATGGCACGAAACGTAGCTGGATAAATTGAACGGGCAATGTGTGACTCACCTTTTAAATGCAGCCTGAAGATTTCGGGGACCGGCGGTGAAATGTTGCGGCAAATGGAGTTTCGAATAGATGTAACCCCATTTCATTTGAGAAGTAACCCGATGAAAACCACCCAATCGTTTCACCAGCTAGGAACAGAGACCCGGGACGGAGAGGGAGGTGAGTAAAAGTAAGAAGTAAGTCCTTAACGGACCGGTAATGGGAAATGTGGATTTGTGTGGTGGATATCGGAACGTGAAATTAAACAAACTGATCATCAGTGAAAGCTTATTTCTGATAACAAGTCATGGTACATAAACACACACACACACAACGGGTCAGCCCGCTAGTTCATAAGAAATGAAGAAAAAAAACGGTTGGAGGATAAAAAATGGGACACTGATGAGGTTTCAACCAGTCAGGTCAGTGATTGATTTTCGAAGGCAATCTTGGAGTTGGTTTTTGTATGAAACAAATTATTTTAGATGTTGAATGTTTGGATTAGCCCATTCGCTTTTTCACAGACACCAGGCACTGAAATGCAAACAAACAGTGGGGAACTAACCATCTCCCGAGGAGTGAAACCCACATCGAACAGCATCAACAGTGCCTGGTGCCTGTGAAAAACCGAATGGGCTAATTCAAACATTCACCATCGAAATTGATTGAACCATTCGCACAAGGTGATATTGACGATATTCATCCATGTCACTCTAAGCATTGGTCAGAGTGAGCCTGAAGTTTCCATCCAAAAAGCCTAACGTGATTAACACGTTCAAGTCTCCTGGTCAGGGTTTTTATTCCCTCACGCTCAGTCTGAGTTTAACCGCCCTTGACCTGTTTTACTCCCATTGCTTGCCTCGGCAAACATCACCTACCGCGGTCATCTATTTTGCGGTATGCCTCAGTCATCGACTATTTGCTCCACTGGATGAGCGCGGTTAACGATTCGGTGCCTAATTCCAGCCAGGCTTGTCCGGGTTCCCCATCAGACTTGTGCAATGCGGCATAGACAGCAGTGGTTGAACGTAGACAGCCGATCATTATCCGGTTCATGTAATGACGAAGTCCATGTGCCGTAAAGCAGCACTGACCTAACTGCTACTGTAGCATCATAAACTCGACTCTTCACAGATTTCGCGATGGTGCCAGAGATGTTTCAAATTGGCAACTGTCAACCGAACTTTCGTATGCGTACCGACACTTCATCTATTAGGGCATCCGCCAAGCCAGATGTAGTTGCCCAAAGGGAAAAATTTGTCTGCTTTTTCTATTTCTTCTCGAGTTAGAGTGAGATTAAGGGCTGAACCAAACCTATCCCGAAACGCGTGCCAAGCATGGCCACACTATCATACAAACCATGCGGACGCGTTCACGACTTGCCTATATTTTTATTTCAATCGGTTTTACAACATCAAAATATCAAATTTTACTGGTTTTATACTCATCCTCCTATTCCATTCATCATCACCATTGTACAGCGTGATACAGTGAGGCGAACCTCTCTGATCGCTGCCCAACTCATACTGCATACAAGGTAAGTGAGAATGTGTAAGGAGGATATGGATTGGGCCTGTGCATACATGATATTTCAAGCATTCTGATAAAAAGTGACAGCAAGATCACCACTGCTATCGGTTCGCAGCAATGACCTCTAGTGTCCCTAACGATACGGAGGCTTTTGAACCCCAATCTGTGCATTTCATCATGCCTCGACTCCGCGTTATCTGCTGATGTCCAAGTGGCTTTCTCCAGTCTGCAACAGCTGTTGCAAATAAGGGGCGCTGCGGTAGGCGACCGTCGAACATACGCAAAATGTATACTAACCAACGGAGCCTGTTGAACTGAATTTGATGCGATAGCGAGCTCTTGTTCCATGCATTCCCAAATACCCGGCGACTTACTGCTAAGTTACTAACCCGCTCACCACATCCTGCTTGGGCCAGACTACGTAGGCATTGCATGTCGAACACTGCTAAACGGCGGATGTTTTCTACCCGAAAGTGCAGGGTCTCACAACCGTTAAGTAGAACTGATCGCACAGTGGCGCAGTATACGCGACTTTTCAACTTCAGTGAAACGTCAAGTCGTTGCCACAGGTGTTCCGAGAGGAAATCAAGGCGAAAGAATAGAACAGCCAACGATGAGTTATGATCATGAGTCTAGCAGAGTTTATAACTCCGTAGTACGTTAATCTTACTTATTCGAATTTCGCAACACTACGACTCGATTCTGGATCGACTATAGTGTCACTCTTCGCAAACAATGTGAACAACAGAGGGAGCCTATACCCGGGACAAAAGCAACACATGTAGTCCGGTAAACGAATTGTTCAACAGTGCTTTTTTGCATTTCGCACGGTAGAACTGAACCGGATAGTCAGTCGCGACGATCAACCGCTCGTTTCTGGAAACCAGGAAACACAAACACTGAGACCTGCAAACCGACAGCAATGGAGATCTTGCTGTCACTTCTTATCAGACCTGAATGCTTGAAATAGTCTGTTTATACAGTTGGAGTGTATGCTCCGTGTGTGTTGACCATATGAGACTCGCTTTCCTTGCTTTCCCGTCCCTGAAAGTAAGTCCAATCCCTATCCTACTTACACATTCTCACTTACCTTGTATATATTATGAGTTTGGCAGCGATCAGTGAAGTTCGCCTCACTGTATTACGCTGTACAATGATGACGATGATGATGGTGATAATGATGAATGTAGTAAATATAATGCCTTACTGGGATAGTCACGACATTGAACAGGAGAACAGCAAAGATGACTACTACCCACAACGACTAGACGGTGGTGACAATATTAGATAGAATCTCGGGCCAGAGAACCCGGAGCATACGAGCGACGCCAGGTTGAATCGGTAAACCGCCATCACAACCTCAAACCTAAGTACTATTGCATCGGTTGTCCAAACACACCGGAAATATTCCGAAAATATAGGTGTCCGAACAGAGAAGTGTAAGCCAGAAGACTTTCTACAGCATATAACCACAGATGCGAATTTCGATTCCAACTGAGACATGATTAGAAAATTGGAATTCTATTAAATCAATCCGTTAGGATTACCACCATTATTGTGGATCCAACCGTGATTTGAGGACGAGTGAGGATCTGTTCTCACTTCTAGGAAATGATCTTGAAACCGTCCATGCTGTAGAGGACACTTTTACTCAACCGAGGGTTGATCGCTCATCCAGATGGAGTGCAAAAAAGACTGGAATGACTCTATGGTATCTAGGTTATCAGTTGAATCAGGTGGTAAGGTGTATTGGGTACAAAGACCGGGTAAAGTTGTATTTAACTCACGGTTACTTATGAGTAGTGGCGTAGGATAATTGGTATTGATGGATTTGACTGATTATACTTCGGACTTCACCTTCTCGCACAATCCTCAGTTCATAGATTCAACCATACACTCGGAGAAACTAGACTGACAAGTAAAATGCGAATTATCTATCAAGCCGCGTAGGTTTGTGGCAAGTCAGCGCGTAGCCTGCATGGAAGTCCTGACTTGGTGGGAGGTTTTGGATAAGAGTTAACATATTACCAACTGTGTTTCCCTTCGTTGCTGTCGGGCCAAATGAAATGACTGACTATAACTGAAGACGAGACCTGAACAAACATGAATTGGCAATTTGGTTCAGCCGTGGTGTGAGCTGGTTGGCACAGTGGTTGTAACATACACGTCTTCCATGCGATGGGTCCGGAGTTTAAATCCCGGACGGGACGGTGCATATGCACTACTGATGAACTCTAATAAGAGCGAAACTCGAATCTAGTGCTTCCGAGTGGATGATTGAACCGATGAAATGAGGACTGTGCGTGAAGGTGAAGCCCGAAGGATAGTAAGTCAAATCTATCAATACCGGGTAAACTGACCCTGTTTAATCAGACATAGAAACGCAACGATGTATCACCTGAACAGCATATAATCTGCAAACACAAATGAAGGGGAACAGAAATAGACGGTGATACAAATGTCATACACTTCACCATGGTTTCGTCAGCTTTGTTAACTATTGAACTACCCGGTTATCCAAGCAACAGAAGGATGACCGGACGCACCTTGACTTGAGTTCTCAGAAGACAGGGAGAACATTCTTTGGCGGTCTATGCCGAACCGATTGGAGCATACAAAATGCATACTGGGTTTCTAGATACAAGGCACCTGAACAGGTTGTGTCTCGGACGATTGATATAACTCATAGCTCACAACACCAATCACTTCCGGTCAAGAGTAGTTGTAAATTTAGCGCAAAAGTAAATGAATCGGGCACAAATGAACTTACACGATATAGTTTATACAAATCCAAATCCTTGTTTGCCAAACAGGGTGCCTTGTTGATTGGAGTGCCACCTTCGTCCATAAATCGATACAACTGTGCGATCCAACGATCACGAGCCTCAAAATTTGTCGAAGACGTAGTTGAGGAGGAGGAGGAAGAGGAGGACGAGGATGTGGACGAGGATGAGGAGGTGGAGGAGGTCGTTGAGGAAGATGTGGTAGATTCTGAATCAGAAGAAGAACTACTTGAGCTGGTACTTGTAGACGAGACTGATGAAGTATCAGAACTTTCGGAACTGTCATCGGATGAGGATGACGGTGAACTGTGTCGTGCTGGAGATGCAGCTGCAGCAACAAGTGTTCGTGCATTCGCAGCGGAAGTATTGAGCGTTTGTGACGAGGCTGATCCGGAACGGCGCTCGACACCAGACGCGTCCGAATCCGCATCCTTTGAGTTTATCGATTTTAACTGATTGACAGCTCTTTTCGGATGATTTCGACCCACTCGAGCAGAGGACGATTTGCGTTGTATTGCGGGAAGTGTCATTTTCCTTGGGGAGCTGGGACGCAGAGAACGTCGACGCGGCAGGCCAGGCNCGATCGAGCTGTTTTCGGTCCAGGGAGTTTGAGACGCATTTTCTTGCGTGGACTCGCATGGGCTGTTGGTCCGCGTGTGTTGTTGTCCGACTGACGCGGACGTTTACGTGAACTGGTCAGTTTACGTGAGCCAGCCGGACTGGACGCGGTTCTACTTCGTTTAATGGGAGTGGAAGTATCCACCACACCTCCGCGGGTAGAAGTATCCTCAGCCGATGAAATGGATGAATAGGGAGA